TGTGATCTGCATGTCTTTTGGTTTGGATATCTCTTCTGAATGTTTTTTAGCATCTTCTTAGTGAGCAGCCTACTCTTTTTAAAAAAAATATTTATTTTTATTTTCTGTATATGTGTGTATTGCCTGCATGTATGTAAGTGCACTCATGTCATGCAATGCCTATGGAGGTCAGAAGAGGACACTGGATCCCCTGGAACTGGAGTTACGGATGGTTGTTAGCCACCATGTGGGTGCTGGGATTTGAACCCGGGTCCTCTGCAAGAGCACCCAGTGCTCTTAACCACTGAGCCATCTCTCCAGCCCTGAGCAGCCTACTTTTGAGGGCTTAATAAAAAGAAAAGGTTACTTACAACCCTAGGGATCCTTAATATCCTTGACAAATCGGCTTAGTGAATTCATGTGCAATCCCCTGCTGTCAGATACTTTCCCCCTAGCTTTCTGTACTGAATGTCTTTCCTTTCCATCCCCATCTACTTACATTTTCTACATACCTCCCTAAAATTCAAGTTTTCTGAAACTCTGCTTTCACTTTTAAAGTTGAAGAATTTACAAAAACTTTAAAAATCTTTTAAAATTATTTTTATTTTATGTGTATGCATGTATTGCCTGCATGTAGGTAAGTCCACCCGTGTTGTGCAATGCCCGAGGAGGTCAGAAGAGGCTGCCAGATCCCCTGGGACTGGAGTTATGGACAGTTGTTAGCTGCCATGTGAATGCTGGGATTTGAACCCAGGTCTTCTGCAAGAACAACCAGTGTTCTTAACCACTGAGGCATCTCTCCAGCCCCTTATAAAAACTCTTAACTATAAAAGATTCAAGTTTAGGTTGATAAGATGCCTCAGTTGGTCAAAGCACTTGTCATGTAAGCCTGACCTGAGTTTGATCCCTGGAACCCACAGTAGAACTGATTCCAGAAAGTTGTCTTTTAACTTCCACAGGTATGCTACTGGTACATACACACACACACACACACACACACACACACACACACACACATTAAATTTTAAATGGCTTCAGTTTTGGGGTTTTGATGTCCTCTGAAAAACTAGTATTCTCTTCATCCAACTTCATCTCCCACTAACCCATCAGTCTGCTTTAGCAGCTCCTTCATTAGATAGTTTATTGTCTTCCATTGCGCTTCAAGATCTACCACCTCTTGCCTCAGAGTCTCATTCATGTAGCCCAGGCTTTCCTTGAACTTGCTATGTAGTGGAGGATGACCTTGAACTTCTGATCTTCCTGCCCATATCTCCTCAGTGATGGGATTATAGGCATGTGCCATTGTGCCCAGTTCTATCCCTCTTTGACTTTAGTTATTTTGAATGATGTATAAGCATCATTCATTATCCATAAGATCTGTTATTTATTTAGTTATCTGATGAACAGTTACAAACATGCTATATGCAAAGTGCTGCTCTGTTAGAAAAACCCAAAGTCAGTAAGAAGTTAAAAAGATTTCTGACAGTTTCATTCATCAGAGCTCTTCTTTCTCTCAATCTTAGACAATATTTTTTTCTAAGAAATTCACCATTTGTTTTCATATTCTGTTTCATTCCTTTTAAAAAATATTTATTATTTTTATTTTATGTATATGTGTGTATTGCCTGCATGTAGGTAAGTGCACCCGTGTCGTGCAATGCCTACGGAGGACAGAAGAGGCTGTCAGATCCCCTGGGACTGGAGTTACAGACAGTTGTTAGCTGCCATGTGGATGCTGGGATTTGAACTTGGGTCTTCTGCAAGAACAGTCAGTGTTCTTAAACGCTGAGTCATCTCTCCAGCCACGTTTCATTCTTTTTTAAAAAGACGTGCATATAAGTGTACTATGTGTATGCCTGGTGCCCCTGGAGACCAGAATAAAGTGTGGGAACCTAACCTGGGTCCTCTGGAAGAGCAGTAAGTACTCTTAACTGCTGAGCCACCTTTCATCTTTTTTTTTTTTTTTTTTAACATGGGGACCAGCCAATCTACCAGTTGATGTGTTCCAGTTTCACCAAGACACCTTATCTCAAAAAATAAGGTGGAAGGCAATAGAGGAAGACACCCGACATTGACTTGTGGTATCCAGAAGCACATGCACAGACATGCACACACATACACACATATGCATATACCATACATATGTTCATAAAAAGAAGGAAAGAATAAAGGACTATGGGCAGAAATGAAGAAACTAAGTGAGAAGAAAAATGAAATACTGTGGTGGTTAAGTCAAATAATGTGCAGATGATCCTTGAAGGAGCATTACAAGGGGTTATGTCAGGTCAATTCATTGCAAGTTGTAAATATAAATAAAAAATGCATTTAAAGGCCCTCGCCTATCAAATATTAAAGCCTAGTCTACCTTAAATGTGTTTGGGACTTACTCAAGCCTACAAAGCCTATTTTATAATAAAATGGTACCACATGCATTTTATCGAATACCATAGAAAATGCTGGCCATGCAGCATATTACATTAACCATTTACGTTTGTGATCATGTGACTGACTTGGAGCTTAGGCTCATTGTCACTACTGAGCATCGAGAGAGTGTGGGGCTGGCAATAAAGCTCAATGGGTAAAAGCACTTGGGGCCAAGCTTAACCACCTGTTTTCAATCCCTGGACTCACCCAGTAGAAAGAGAGAATTGGTTCCCAAAAGTTGTCCTCTGACTTCTACACACACACACCATGGTATATACATCCACACATACACATCATGTGCATGCATATTCATACATACAATAATTTAAAAAATTAAGATTTAAGGGGCTGGAGAGATGGCTCAATGGTTAAGAACACTGGTTGTTCTTGCAAAAGACCCAGGTTCAAATCCCAGTACCCACATGGCAGCTAACAACTGTCCATAACTCCAGTCCCAGGGGATCTGACCGCCTCTTCTGACCTCCATGGGCATTGCATGACATGGGTACACTTACCTGCATGCAGGCAATACACACATACACATAAATTAAAAATAATTTTTAAAAAATTAAGATTTGACTCTGCATAGTATAGTCTATTCTTTGACATTCCAAGGTAAGACTATCTAACAGATGAAGATTGTTGACTGTACCTCAGGCAAAGTTAAGCACACATTTTAAATGCTATTTTATGAAAAACTGTTGTTTCCTAAAAAAAAAAATATATCACACGGAAAGTCATGGGTAAGCTTATTCTCATCATAATGCTGAGTCCTGAGCTCAGCAGCCCAGTTAGACATCCGTGTGGCTCTAAGTACATCACAAATACAAAATGTGGACGGGATGTATGAATGATTAAGTTAACACAAGGCTTATGAAAGAGGAAAAACAGAAAATAAGGAAGAAATGGAGGAAGGAAATTATATACTACAAAATCTAAGAAAGAGTGGAAGAAGTAATGGGGAGTAAGTGGTCTATCTAATAATGGACTAAATTTTTTTTTTGGTCTTTTTGAGATGGTCTCCCTATAGCCCAGTTGGCCTGGAATTCACTATGTAGCTGACCTTGAACTCACAAAGATCTGTCTGCCTCTGCCTCCCAAGTGTTGGGATTAAAGGTGTGCGCTACCACGCCTGACACAACACACTAAATTTTAACTTTTTTTTTTTTTAAGCAGGGTCTCCCTGTAGCCCCAGCTGTCCTGGAACTCACTATGTAGACCAGGCTGGGCTTGAACTCACAGACATCTGCCCGTCTCTGCCTCCCAAGTGCTGGGACTACAGGCGTGTGCCACCATGCCCAGCTAAATTCTAACAATATTATGTTAAACTGTTTCATTTTATTTGTATTATTTTATTTTATCTATATGAGTGTTATGCCTGCATGTATGTAAGTACACCACATGCATGCAATGCCCACAGAGGCCAGAAGACAGCACAGACTCTTCTGGAACTGGAGTTAGGGATGGTTGTTAGCCACCATGTGGGTACCAGGAACTGAACCTGGGTCCTTTGTAAGAGCAGCCAGTGCTTTTAGCTGCTGAGTCATCTCTCCAAGTTCCAACTAAATTTTAGAGCAATTTTTGCAGGGCAAAGGGGCACACACCTACAATCCAGGCACTAGGGAGGCTGAGGTAGGAGAACCATATGTTTGAGATCAGCCTCAACTACATAGTGAGATTCTGTCTCAAAAGCCATACGTATATGTGGCTTATATATTATGTATATATAATTTTTTTCCCTTTAAAATAAAACCTTAATGACTGGACTGGTTGGTTACCATGTCCAAAGCCTTGGATTTAATCCCCAGCAACGAAAACAAAACAAAGCAAAAGTAAAACAAAACAAAAACTAACAAACCCAAACCAAAACAAAAGAAACAATCTCAATGATTACCATGTGATATTTAGAAATTATTTTAATAAATTATTATTGTCTGTTTTTCATGTTATTTTCTTTTGAGATTTATTTTTAGTCATGCATATATGTGTGCAGTGGGTATGTGCAGGTGAGTGCAGGTGCTCCAGAAGGCCAAAGGCATCAGTCAGAAATAATATATATTTATAGTGAAAAAGGAAAAATAAATGTCATCACTAATATTATGGATACATTATAACTAATTTTTTATATTTGTTGCTTTAATTTTATGTGTATGAGTGTTTTGCCTGCATGTATGTAAGTGCACCCATGTTGTGGAGTACCTGCAGAGGTCAGAAGGTGGCGTCAGATCCTCTGGAAGTGGAGTTATAGATCGTTGTAAGCTGCTACGTGGGTGCCTGGAATTGAACCCAGGTCCTCTGCAACAGCAGTCAGTGCTCTTAACTGCTGAGCCATCTCTCAAACCCACTTTATCTTTTTTAATAAAAATGCAAATCTATCACAATATTGAAAGGGCAAATGACACAACCAATTACTATGACTGTCAGGAATTTATCATACTACCTTTCTGTAATAAAAATTTTCCATAAATGAACTGAGTAAAATAATAATATAAACTGATTTTACTACCAATTAAAAATAAACTTGAAAGTAATCATTCATTTTTAACCCTTATTAACTTTTTTCAATATGAAAAATGTGCCTTCATGGTAAATCTTACCTCGTTATATCTATTGCTTGGAATTTTGATGCTTGTTTTTCGAACTTCCATGTCAACCACCAAACCTTGAACAACTGGCAAGGTATACTGGTAATTTCTGAAGTCCTGAGCAAGGCAGATTGAAGCAGAATAAAGCATTAAAATATATGATCCAATTTATAGTAATAAAGTAGCACAATTAGAAACTGTCAATTGAATGATCCTGTTTATTTAAACAATGAGGAAATATACAACGAAAACTTTACTGCTTGTATTCTAGCTCTCTCTAGTCTATAAACACTTAGAAGGCAGTAAACCAAACAGCTTCATGTACTCCTTATAAATAGCATTAAACAAATGATTATTCAGCTTTATGACCACTTAACATTTTCTATATTTTGTCTGTTCTCTTCCTTTAATTTCAAGAGGGCAGGGATTTTTACTTGTTTCATTCTTCAATCTCTAGTACTTAAAACATTTCAGGTACTCAGTGAGTATAGGAAAATACACACACACACATACATACATGTACACACATGTACACTCACACACACAACACACACGTACACTCCCCTGACGCAACCTTATATCTAGTATGGCTGAAGGAAACAAGTATGAGTCAAATCTTGTGCTGGATAGCTTTAGTGTCAACGATACACCTGGGTTGAGGGAGCCTCAATTGCAGAATTGCTTTCATTGGACTGGCCTGTGGCGATGTCTGTGGGGCATCTTGATTGTTGTGTGATGTCGGAAGGCCCAGCCCACTGTGGGTGATGCCATCCCTGGACAGGTGGGCCTGTGTTGCATAACAAAGCAGGCTGAGCAGGGGCCAGGGAGCAAGCCAGTAAGCAGTGTTCCTCCATGGCCTATGCTCCAGCTCCAGGTTCCTGCCCTGAGTTCCTACCTTGAGCTCCCTGATGAACTGTGACCCAGGAGATGTAAGATAAATAAACCTTTTCCTCCCCAAGTTAGTATTGGTCAGAGTATTTTGTCACAGCAATGAAGAAACAAACTAGGACAAGTCTAAAGTGCTAGTATACACAGGTCACTACTAAAGGTAGATTTTTGTTGTTTTGTTTCTAAAGACAAGGTTTTATTATGTAGCTCAGACTGGCCTGAAACTTACTATGTAGGGCAGGCTAGCCTGGATCTCCTAATTCTTCTGCCTCAGCCTCCTGAGTGCTAGTACTAAAAATCTGAGTCACCACACCTGGTGCCACAAAGACTTCAGACTTTACTGTGAGGAGATTTCTAGCCTGTTTTTTTTTTATATTAAAAAATATTTTATAGCTGGGCGTGGTGGCGCATGCCTTTAATCCCAGCACTTGGGAGGCAGAGGCAGATGGATCTCTGTGAGTTCAAGGCCAGTCTGGTCTACATAGTGAGTTCCAGGACAGCTGGGGCTGCAGGGAGACCCTGTCTCAGAAAGACCAAAAAAAAATATTTTATTACTTTTATTTTATAAATATATTGTCTGCATGTATGTAAGTACACCAGTGTCATGCAATGCCCACAGAGGTCAGAAGAGGGCCCTGGATTCTGTGGAACTGGAGTTGTGGATGGTTGTTAGCTGCCATGTGCATGCTGGGAACCAAACCTGGGTCCTCTGCAAGAGCAGCTGGCACTTTTAACCACCGAGCCATCTCTCCAGCCCCAGGATTTTTGGCCTATTTTGACAGACCTGAATTCTCTATGAAGAATAGGGGATAAACAGTGTAAGTGAAAGGAGATGAGATAACCATAATAAAAATAATTCAGATAAGAAATAATGATAACTTAAACCAGGAGGTTAATAGTTCAAAAGATAGTGAGATGCTCTCATAGAGTCTAGATATATTTTAAAGAAAAAACAAAGTATTTGCCACTGGATTGAGTATGGAGTAAGAGCCAAGAAGGATAATTTTAGGATGTTTCTAAATTTTATTGTCAGGACTACTAAAACACTGGAGTAGACAACCACAGGGTGGGATATGATGGGAAGAGGAGGGCATCTCTAAGTACTCAACTGTGTTACTTGCAACAGAGCTCGAATACAGATGGGAAGTGGGCATGGTGGTGCACACCTTTAATCCCAGCACTTGGGAGGCAGAGGCAAACTCAAATCTCTTTGAGTTTGAGGCCAGCTTGGTCTACATAGTGAGTTCCAGGTCAGCTGTGGATACAGGTAGACTCTGTCTCGAAAAGGCCAAAAAAAAAAATTTTTAAAAACAAAACAACACAAAAACTATTGAGCTATGAAATAATTTCAAATAGTCTAACGTGTATGCAACTGGAGTCCCTAAAAGGAAAGAAGGGAATAAAGAGACAGCAGAGATGGGATGTAGCACAGACCTGTGATATCAGCATTTGGGAGACTAAGGTAAGAAAATAGTGATTTTTGAGGTCAGCCTGAGCTACATAGGGGAACGTCTCTCAAATCAAGCAACCATCAAACATACTAAAAATAAAAGCAGTCACAGAAAATGTTATGCAAAAAAAATACCAAAAACAAAAAAAAAAAACCCCAACCAACCAACCAAACAAACAAACAAAAAACACCCAAAGGACAAGAGGAAAAATAGACTTCTATTTTGAAACAAACAAAAACTCCAGAAGACAAAGGAACATCTTCAAAATACTTAAAGATGGGCCAGGGATGTAGCTCAGTTTGTAGAGTGCTTGCCCAATATGCATCTGTGATTGGTTCTCAGCACTGTACATAATCAGGCATGGTGGACATGGGTGTGATATCAGTACTCTTCAGTTAGGAGAATCAGATGTTTGAGGTCATCCTTAGCTACAGGGTCAGTTAGAGGCCAGCATGGGATACATGAGCTCCTGTCTCAAAACCAACTAACCAACCAACCAACCCTCGAAAAATAAAGGGGTTAGAGCTAGAGAAACGGCTCAGTGGTTAAGAGCACTGTCTTCTCTTGCAGAGGGCCCAGGTTAGGTTCCCAACACACATATGAAGCTAACAGGGGTTCATAACTCCAGTTCCTGGGATGTGGTGCCCTCTTCTGGCCTCCATGGGCATTGCATGCATGGGTGCACTTATAACCCGGTAGGCAAAACGCTGATACATATAATAAATTTTTAATGAGCAAAATAGTCAACAGCAAAACCATCTTTTTCCCATTGTATTTGTGTTTATCTGTATGTGCACATATGTGTTCATACATGTGGAGGTGAGAGGTTGCTGTGTCTTCCTCAGTAATACTCTACCTTATTTTTGAGACAAGGTCTTTCGCTGAACCTGGATCTTGCTGATTAGGCTAGACTGGCTGGCCAGTTAGCCCTAGGGATATTCCCATTTCTGCCTCCCCAGTGCTGAACTACAGGCACTTGCTGCTACACCCAGCTTTTTATGTAGGTGCTGGGAATCCAAACTCAGGTCCTAGTTTACTGACTAAGCCATCTCACAAGCCCCATTTAGAAATATCTTCTAAATAGGAAAATGAATTAAAGTTTTAGAAATGCAAACATACAGGATAAAAAAATGAGGGGCTAGAGAGATGGCTCAGCAGTTAAGAGCACTGACTGCTCTTGCAGAGGATCGGGGTTCGATTCCCAGCACCCAAATGGAGGCTATGAGCCGTCCTTAACTCCAGTTCCAGGGGAATCTGAAGCCCTCTTCCAACCTCTGCGGCATTGCATGACATGGGTGCACTCACATGCATGCAGGCAGTACACTCATACACATAAAATAAAAATAATAAATAAAATATTTAAAAATCTTGCTACAGGCAGGTTAGTGAGGTGACTCAGTGGATACTTTCCTTGAAAGCCTGATGACTTGAGTTTGATCCCCGGAACCCATGTAAAAAGAAAGAACCAACTTGGCACACCATGACCACTCACACAGCATATACATACACATGATTAAAAAAAAAAGTCACGGGGGGAGGGAGGCTATGGGAAGGTGCCATCTGGGAAGTGGGTGTATAGTTGAATAAGATGGTTTGGGATGTTCTGCGTGATATACACTCACACACACACAAAAAATCAACAAATTTTTAAAAATGCATTATATTTGAGGAGGAAGCATGGAAATTTACATCATGTTAATTAGTAGAGGTGATAAACATTACCATTGAAATCT